ATCCTCTCCCTCTCCCTTTGTTAAGGTCCCCTGCTTCTGTATACGCTTTTTCTTCCGTTGCTTACGTGCTAACGCTGCCTTATTAGCCTTCTCAAGGCTGGCAATCCGATCGCGCATTAGCTCAGCTAAGAGCATCATCACCTCAGCCCCCTTCTTGAGCTAGTTAATCGCCTAAATAATTAAAGCTGGTGATGAGCTCTTGTGCCGTCGCACGCGATCACGTATTAACGTTGATTAAGCCTCAAGCTCACGTACGTTGCTCGGCGTACAAGCCTCCCAGGGAGCCTCTAGTAGAGCAGCTAGAGTAGGCGTACGGAGCTGCACGTCTAGCTTCGAGAGGACAGCGTCTGGCTAGAGAGGAACAAGGCCTGCGCCGCGAAAAGCTAAGCAGATATTGGCTGGCGTGAACGCTCGATCAAACGCTGTCTTGAACGCTAGCAGAAACTCAAGCTTGGTGATGTAGTTAATGTGGTGGCGGATTAGGCTCTCCACCTCACGACTGTACGCGCGCTTCAACGGCGAGAAGCAGCTAACGTTAAGAGGTTGAAGCAGGTAAGATAAGTAGGGTGGCATGCAGAGCGTGTAGATGTTGTTCTCCTTGCAGAGCTCTTGAAACTCAAGGGATTGGTGGCTCTCATGGCCGTCAAGGACGAGCAGGCGACGCGCACCAACCATGCGAGTCTTCGTGTAAGCGTTAAAGTGCTTTAGCCACTCTACTCCTAGCTTGTTAGTTGTCCAGCCATTGTCGCTGACTGCGATCGCCCAGTCGCGTGGGATCTCTGCTTCCTCGTACCAGGCAGACAGGTGATACTGGCCAGCAAAGATGAGGAATAGTGGGACTAACCAGCCAGCAGCGTTAATCGCAGCGATCAACGTTACCCACTCGCGATTACCAGGCTGGATAGCCTTTGGCCTACCTCTCCTCTCTGACGCTGTCACGACAAGCTAAGTCGTGATCTTGCCCATTATAAAGCCAGCTTCGTCAAAGTTGTAGACGTTATTATCGCAGATACCGTACTTAGCCTTTGTCTGCTCTACAAGCTCAAACCAGGCACTAATTAGGACTAGATCTTCGCACAGAGCTCTCTGCCTATCGTACGCTCGGTTAAAACACGTCGTGAGACTGTCTGTACGCTTGACGAAGTTGGCTGGCCACTTCTGTCCAACCTGGCCTGCGCCGCGCGCAGCGAGCAGCTTATCAGCCATATCACGTACAGCTGTATACGTAGGTGAAAATCTACGTAGATCTAGATCAAGTATATAGCTAACAATTACCTGCTCCTCTAGCTGGGTGAGCTTCTTTGAGTTGGGCTGGCAATCGCGTCGGGCGGGTTTACCAGCGCGTCGGCGGTGGAGGGTAGCGCGAGAGACTTCAAACGTCGCTGCAGCGCGTCTCTCAGTCTGAATTTGACTTGTACTAAGAGCTAAGATTGCAAGGTTTATATCAGCCTCACGAGAGGCGTTTTGAGTTGGGGTAGGTAGAGCCATAAGTGATTTGAGGTCGTAGGTTGCGCAAAGTTGGTGGGGTGGCTCACTCGCTTGCCTGGCTCACTCGCTTGCCAACCATGTTAACATGTTTTACAAGCGAGTGACGCGTACAAGCGAGTGACGCACCCCACTAACTTTGCGCACCTCACCTATCTCAATCTACAATGGCTCTACGCAACGTTACTTAATTACTCTCAAATGAAGCTGATGTTTAGCTTGCTATCTTATCTATTAATGCTTAACAAATCCAGGGCAATCGTCCTGCTGCAGCGATCTACAACGTAGCTAAAGCGACGCTCCGCCGTCGACGCGCTGGGATACCTGCCTAACGCGATTGCCAGCCCAACTCAAGGAAGCTTACTGAGCGAGAGGAGCAGGTGATTATTAGATATATACTCGATTTAGATACACGTGGATTTGCGCCTACGTACGAAGCTGTACGTGATATGGCTGATAAGCTGCTAGCTGCGCGCGGCGCTAGTCAAGTCAGCGTCTACTAGCCGCGCAACTTTGTTAAGCGTACAGACAGTCTTACAACATGTTTTAATTAAGCGTACGATAGGCAGCGAGCTCTATGCGAGAATTTAGCCCTAATTAAGAGCTAGTTTAAGCTTGTAGAGGAGATAAAGGCTAAGTACAGCATCTGCGATGGTGACGTATACAACTTTAACGAGGCCAGCTTTATAATAGGCAAGATCACGACTCAGCTCGTCGTGATAGGGTCAGAGAGGAGAGGCAGGCCAAAGGCTATCCAGCCTAGTAATCGCGAGTGGGTAACGTTGATCGCGGCGATTAACGCTGCTGGCTAGTCAGTCCTACTATTCCTCATCTTCGCTGGCCAGTATCACCTGTCTGCCTGGTATGAGGAGGATATCCCACGCGACTAGGCGATCGCAGTTAGTGACAACGGCTGGACGAATAACGAGCTAGGAGTAGAGTAGCTGAAGCACTTTAACGCTTACACGAAGACTCACGTTATTGGTGCGCGTCGCCTGCCTGTCTTTAATAGCTACAAGAGCTACCACTCTCTTAAGTTTTAAGAGCTCTGCAAAGAGAACAATATCTACACGCTCTATATGCCACCTCACTTATCTTACCTACTCTAGCCTCTTGATATTAGCTGTTTCTTGCTATTAAAGCGCGCGTACAGCCGTGAGGTAGAAAGCCTAATCCGCCACTACATTAACTACATCACAAAGCTTAAGTTTCTCCTAGCGTTTAAGACAGCGTTTGATCGATTGTTTACGCCAGCCAATATCTGCTCAGCTTTCTGCGGCGCAGGCCTTATTCCTCTCCAGCCAGACGCTGTCCTCTTAAAGCTAGACGTGCAGCTCCGTACGCCTACTCCAGCTGCTCTACTAGAGGCTCCTTAGGAAGCTTATACGCCGAGCAACGTACGCGAGCTTAAAGCTTAATTAACGTTAATACGTGAGCGCGTGCGACGGCATAAGAGCTCATCACTAGCTTTAATTATTTAGGCGATTAACTAGCTCAAGAAGGGCGCTAAGGTAATAATACTCTTAGCTGAGCTAATGCGCGATTAGATTGCTAGCCTTAAGAAGGCTAATAAGGCAGCGTTAGCGCGTAAACAGCGTAAAAAAAAAGCGTATACAACAGCGAGGAGTCTTAACAAAGGGAGCTGGCGAGGATATACTCGCTTAACGTAAGGCTGATTAGCAGATTGCTCGTGAGCAGCGTTAAGAAGGAGAGCGATCAGGCGTGAGCCGCCAGGCTCTCGCGCGCTGTAAGAAGTGCAGAGAGACTGGACATAACTCTTGTACGTGCAAGAAAGATACCTTAGATACTGCTTAATCTGCTCTATTAATATCTATATATTATCTTGTAAGGTAGTTGAGATATACGCGTGTAGAGGTGCGCAAAGTTGGTGGGGTGCGTCACTCGCTTGTACGCGTCACTCGCTTGTAAAACATGTTATGCAATATCGCATGAACTTGAGACCATATTTGGAAAAACCTTACACGCAGCATCAGCGCCTTTGTTAGTGATATATGAGCACGCTAGACCTGATGGATGCGAACAATCGATATTGCATGTTATAAGATATCAGGCAAACCTAGGATACAGAGACACCTGGAAGATTTTGGTCTTCTTCGCCGAGCGGGTAGTCTAGCCTAGTCGGGCCGGACTAGTGGAGTGAACCCATGACAAAGTGAACGCGACCAGACCTGTAACACTAGATAGTTACAAGACCATGTAGATGCTTGGTTCGTATGGGTTTGAAAACAGCTTTTACCTTCTATTCAGCGCGAAAATAGATCATATCACAGAACTCAACGATAACACCCTCTAACCAAACGGATCGAAAGTGCTCGGATCGTAATCCTTCCCCTCTTGCCACATCTCGACTACAACCTTGTCCTTCCATATGCCATCCGACCTTCTCTTCTCCCATTTTCGGGATACGGTATAGTGCCATATCTTTGTACTTCCACCCGCTGCGACGAAGGCCACTTCGATTCGCTGAATCGCGCTTTCCCGACCAAAGTCGTGCCATAAGCGCAGCATTAAGTTATGGGCAACCTTCTCTTTGATCTGAGGTGAACCCACTGACCATGAATTCGGGTATGAAATCAGCTGGTATGTGTCTACATCCAGATAAAATGTGAGGTGAAGCTGTTCGAGGTTGCGAAACGAAGTCAGCGCTGAGTGGACAGATCGATGAGTCGCGGCGCTCGGCGGTGTCCATGGCGAAAACGACAGAGCCGAGGGTTTGAGCGAAGAAACACCATGCTTCTGCGAGCTAGAGATGGTGAGGAGCTTCTTCAAACGTGCAACGACCGATGTCTTGCCCGTAGCCTGATCGTCCGGCCATACGCTTGACCCCTTCGTTCCCTCTTTTCTCTGCACTTTCATTGGCAATCGTAATATCTTTATCCCTCGAGCTGTCTCCGCTAGATTGTGAAAGTGCTCGGGTTCCCACGCTACACTCCTTGCATATTTTGCTTCCAAACTACGCAGGCTCTGTCCATGCTTGGCTAGAAGTGTAGGTCGCACCATTTGCATGTCGTCGTCATCATCACAATACGTCTTCACATTTCTCAGTGCATCGATTGAATTGAGAAAACGCTCAAGAACTTTCATGTCCCTGTTCGAGTTCCAATAAGCCCTCGCAGCGCCGTAACCCTCCCAGAAGCCGAAGCCGAGTGTCTTGAGCTGTGACACACGTCCTGTCAATGCTTGTAGAAGGGCTGTAGGGGTACCGTGACCGAGATCTAAGGTATGTAGCCGACCCCAATCCATGCAACGTGACCACATCTGACAGTTCTCTGCAGTTGGAAAGTAGTTCTGATGCTCTGGATCTAAGGTCAACTCCTCGAGTGCCGGGAACATATCACCGTCCCGAAACGGAAGATTGAGCGGGCTTTCTTTGTAGTTGTCATTCATGTGCCAGGAAGTGTGCCAGGAAAGGTCGCCGACTTGCAAACGCAGAGTCTTCAAGTTGCGGACTTGGAGTAGGCACTGTTTCAGCTCGGACATCTCCGAAGGACAAACGTCGCATGGTCGTTTTGCAAGAGCAGTAAAGTCCAGGGTGTCCAGATGTGAAGACGACAGAATAGCCTTGTCCATTGCATGAGGTCCACGATCGTTGTTGATGTAGGTAAGTCGCATATTAGGGCGATCTACCAACAGTGCCTGCAATGAAGGCGGGAAGGGGTTCGGAGTCTCCCATCTGTGATGTGTCAGCTTTCTGGAACCGTGGTGCGGATGCGTGGGATTTACGATAGTCTCTGTAGCTGCACCAAATGACTCCAGCAGTCTACCAGTAACGTTACGAGCTTTTCGCAAATCTCAGGATCATATCGGACGGGTCTGACTCGAATGCATCTTATTTTTTCGCCGGTCGCCTTACCTGACATTCGCGTTCCCTGTAGGATTGTTGTTTCAACGTCGTTCACACCTGCAAGCGTAATCTCGCGAAATAGAAACTCCTCAGAAGAACTTCTGCTTGCGCGGCACACAACTCGAAGCGCGTGGAACGCCGCATAATCGTCGTGAAAGAGTTGAGCAAAGATACCGGAAAGAACACTTTGCGGCAGGGCGACGAATTGAGAAGACATTGTCAACGATGCGCGCACGTTTCGCACAGGTAGAGATAATTGCTATTGCGGCTGAAAGCAGCGTGTCTGTGTTCGAGACGGCGGACTGTATATATGTGAAAGTGCAGCCTAGGTGGATATTACCCCGGTTCTACACAGCCCGCAAGCCACCCGTTCGGATAAAATAGATTACACGACTTAGCGCCCACCAACTAGCGCCGCCTCTTGCCAGGGTTCGCTGTTCCAACTACGCCGACCCATCGCTGCAGTATCGAGGGATGACAGCATACTGTTCATCGCGTTAGTAGACTCCTGCTGAAGGTTGCATGTGACTCACTTCATCGCTCCAGAGAGAGTAATGTTTGCTCCACTTGGTTTTGAAGACTGTTGGCGCTTCTATGTTTCCAAAGAGCTCTGCACCAGCGTCCATACCGTAGCAGTAGATAAAGGGTTGATTGCTGCCAACTTTCGTATTCGCATACAACTGCGCATACGAATCGACACCCAGATCGAGCTATTCATATGTCAGACGCTTTCAATGCCATCACTCTCACGCTTATGCTTACCGCAGCATTAGATATTGCAGAGCTATCAAACACAATGCCGAACGTCACTTTTGGGATAATGTATACAGTGACCTTGCCCGAGGCGTCCAGGTCCCAAGTAAATTGGTCATGGACACCGGATCCAGAAACATCTTTCTTCGTAGTCTCCTCGTCGGGTTTGTCGTCCTCACCATCGGGGATGGGATATCGCATTGAGTAGTCCCACCCAGGCATCTCCATCTCATACGTTGCGTTGATTTTCAGTTGCGCTTCTCCAGCGAGTGAACCAATGATACGGAAATCAGGGCCGATGGTCACAAAACCAGGAACGCGGAACGTTGCGCCAAAGTTGTGGGCTCCAAACAGCTCAACATCACCAGTGTGGAAGGACACCTTGCCAAAGGCTTCGAACTTGAGTTGCGCTGTCACCTGGCCCTCCGTGCGGAACCAAGCGGAAGACTCCTCGAAACTCTCAAGGTTTCCAAGCTTGCCGATAACGGTGACTCCACCTGCCGTTTGGACGTCAAGATCCATCTCAACCCAGCTCTTGAAGTACAGATCGTCCGCCCACTCTGCACAATCTGTCAGGGTCTCCTCGAAGATCTTGATGTTGAATTGTTCATGCACCCGGTGCCTGACGCCCTCATACTTGATGTCGACGTCCCTTTGTTTGTCCCACCATTCTTTCACGTTGCCTGACCACCATCTCTTGTGCAACTCAGTGTAGTGCAGCTCGCGCTTTTCCTTGCGCCAAGCATGTTCTAGCCAGGCCTTCTTGTTGCCACCAAACATTGTCTCGATCTCCAGATCTCGTTTGCGCTTGTGTTTTCCAGGAGGTGCTTCGATAATGCTGTCCCAATAGCCAGGGTTGTCACTGTAGTCAATGCGTACCAAAACATTAGACTGGTCAGCGCGCTTCTCGAACGTCGTGAAATCATAGTCGAATGTGAAGTCATATACAGCGGCATCGCTAAGCCCCCGCTTCTCAAGTCTGTGTCGAATGTGGGCATGGGTAGTCGAAGACTCCATTTTCCTCGCGACAGCATATTTGCCAGGGCCGCAGTCGCTGGGCATCTCAACGACAGTGTGCTCCAAGCCGCCTCTGAAAATGATGTCGCAATTACTGTTTTCGGACGAGTCCGTACATACCGCCTTCACGGTTTGGCGATTCTCGCCGGCGGTGTTATCGCAGTCGAAAAGTTCCCAATGTGAGCCATCGCGTTTGTTGACTGTCGTGATTTCGTCTTCAGGGCCGGACATGATGTAAAAGCCAAAGGCATGATCATCAGGATCGTTGCTATTTCCTGGTGTGATCTGGCCACCCATTGTCTGATCAACCTTGATGGTAATCTTCTCGGTGTTCGAGTCGGGTCCAGGGGTAGGGAACAGGTTCCTGCGATCTGTCAGAGAGGCACGCACATAAGAGAAATGAAGAATGAGTGACTTACTTCAACGGCACGGGCAGATTGATGGTTTCCTGGCACAGTTAGCAAGCCGCAAGTCAGCACGAGCATTGGGAGAGGTTACCTTGCCCATGCCTCTGGTATCGCAACAAAAGGCGAGATCTGCATTGTACCACGACCAGACGCCCATCTGTTGAGGTATCGTGTACTTGCACTCGTGTGTACCATCTCCTTTGCCATCGCCATTTGGTCCGCCGTACTGATCCTGGTCGATTTTGCTAGTGGTTGAACTGCAAAATTCCGAGTTTGAACAGATTGGGATGTTACCGCCCTCGTTCCAGTAACACGAAGATGTGTCGATGCCTTTTTCGCAGCAGTAAGAGAGGCCCTTGTTGCCTTGACACGTTCCACGTTTGGTGGTCACGAAGTTGCGATCTAAGGGGTCTTTTAGCTCAACTCCAGAATGACGTCAACATGACACTCACCTCCACAGACGCTTTTGAGACTGTTTGAGTTCTGCGGCCTCCCATCCTTCAAATTCAGACACTCATCTGTCCAACCACACACATCGTTGACACCACCAGTGGAACTCTCACAGCAGTATTGTGCAAAGCCAAACCAGCAGGACAGGTGCTCGTCGTCGATGTAGGGCTCCGTACTTGATACAACAGGTATCTCGCCGTCGTGACAAGCGCCTGAGCACCAGAATCCCTCGATGCCTTGTTGACCTCCAGACCATCTGCATTTCTTTGGATCCGGAGTCGACTTCAGAGGACAGCACAAAGTCTGCCTCTGAGCTTTGCCGTCGCGCATGCCGCAGTATTGCTGAGCGCCAGCTGATTGATAGCCGGCACCACACGATGTGGTACCACAGGAAGACCATGCGCATTCAGTTCCTGTTGCAGAGCCGAAATCACCTTCATCGATAGCGCTTGAATCGTACCCATTCTGCTCGGCAAAGACGTCAAGTTTTCCGCCTAAGAGGGCTTTCAGTGCCGTATGGTCCGTGTCGTCAAGGTCTATAGACCAGACAAATAGACCAAGCAGACTAATCCTCAATCAGTGGGCATCGGCTTGGGAGTGACAAGATTACTCACCCTTGTTCTTTCGCGAAATCGACCTTGTCCTGGAGCGTTTCTTCATCGTCGTAAGACACCCACTGATTGTTGGAGCCCCAAGCCAAATACTTCACTCCAGCCTCCTTATCGTAAATCTTTTCGAGGTTGAAGCGCTTGATATACGACTCAATCTCGGCGAAAGAAAGTATACCGCTTTCGCCGGTGCATTGCCCAGCCACGCCAGGTGCTGAGTGCTTGCAACCAGGCTTGTTGCAATTCGCGTCCTCGAGGGTGTACGACCGACCATAGAACCCAATGCCCAGATTTATGCGATTTGCAGGTACACCCATACGCCAGAACAAGTCAAGAGATTCCTTGATCTCTGTCTTGTTGGTATGTGCATAGACGTACGGCCCGATGTAAGTGCCAGGCGCGTCCCAGCTGCCATGTCTAATTCACTTGTTAGGTCCATGCTGCTCGCAAAGTAAGATGTCGCACTCACAGATCGTAAGACATAAGATTGATCCAAGAAACGTATTTCCAAAGCAGGTCAATCTTGAACCATCGCAAATACCAATAAGAAGATGGTGCGGTGAACGAGATGCCATAATCATCTCCTGCGAGCTCAAATACCGTATTGAGTGCTTCGAGGAGCAGAACAAAGTTACCTGGATCATCCGGTTTACCACCGCGATCTGAAGAGTCGAATTAGTCAGTCGTATTGAGGGGACGATCATAAGCAACATACCTGGTGCGCCCGGATACTCCCAGTCCTTTTGGTAGTGTTAGAAACTCTGCCCAAGATATGCCAGCAAAGGCGACTTACCAGGTCGACCCCATCAAATCCCCATGTCTTCATGAACTTGTGCAGATTCGCGGCAAATTTGTACCGATTGGCGCCCGTGCGTGCAAGATCTCCCCAGACAGCCTGCGTATCGGTACCGTTATCGCTATAAGTCCAACCACCCAACGAGATCCAGATCTTGAGACCTGGCGCCTTTTGTTTCAGGTTTGTGATCTGAGAGAAGACATCGTCCGAGGTGCGCGGCATGGGTACAATTTCAAACGTCTCCGGCTCGATATATGCAAACGCAAGGTTGAGATGGGTCAGCGAGCCAACTGGGACATCATCGATCGTTCGTTTGGAGCAACTTCTTGTCGTCAAACTCCACCCTGCCCAGTAGCTGGTGCAAGTTAGTGCAAGGCATCATCTTCAAAGATGGTACGCACCCAATGACCAGTTTGCGTATATCTCCGCGATTGGGCTCGCTGGAGCCAGGTTGCTCGCCTGGAGAAAGATGACAAAGTCAGCCACCATGGCGCATGCATAGACGTGGGAGCCTCACAATTGCTTTGGCATGTATCATCGCAGTAGTCTGCTTTGACGCCACAGTACCCTGATCCGCTGCAGCAGACTTTCAAGGGGCACGTTGTTCCGGGTACAGCTGCACCCGCGCCGCACTCCGATTTATGGTCACAGTTGGAAATGCAGACATCCTTTCCGCAAAAGTCGCTTCCTGACCCACACTGCGCATGTAAGATATTGATCCGACCATAACAAACGTGAAATCATAGAGACTTACCCATCCCCTAAAGTCTATCAGCAATGAAGTTTTGGGTGGGAACAGGAAACGTACGTCTTTCCATTGCAGCATTCACCTCCAGCACATGGCTCGCCTTCTGCACACCTTCCCTTTTCTGCCCTTTGCCAAAGCTCTGTTCTGGTGTTCGGTGTAATCGGAGGCGGCAATACTTGCGCCCTCCCGATGCGAGCAGCGTTAGGCAAGGCATTTCCCCCATCAAGTCGTGTTGCTTGAATTGCGCATTCTGCCAATAAGATGGTGCAAAGAAATACTGATAGACAAAGCAGCTTCAAAGATGCATACATGACTTGTAAACTCGAAATCGAATTCGCCAACTCTTGCTACAAGAGAAAGAACAGAGCGGAGAAAACTAATGAGCGTGATATGTCAAAGTATCGCAGAAACAATGATCTGTGGTATGCACGAAGCATA